TAGGCTAGTCCTATCTATTATATAGTCTAATAATTAGTCTATTATTAGTCTATTGAGTGTTTCTATTGACCAGTCTCCTATAGTTTTGGTACCACCCTAATAGTAATATCTCTGCTATGTCGTGTCAGTATATTTGTTTTTATGCAGGTTTTTCGCATAAAAATCATATCATGTTTGATACATGATACCATATCCATATATGTATGTGTAAATGTACGATTTTATGTAGGACATGATTTCAGTGTACCGTACCTCCCTCTCTCCCCTTTACTGCCTGCTATGCCATAAAGATTTTTAACGTTTTTAACTCAAGCAAAGATACTAGTTAGTTGGAATAGACCATCACAATGTTACATGTCCATACATTGAACATTTTTATGCAATTTTCTATTGGAGGCAAACAAAAGCATTTGCTTTACAAAAACAGCAGAAAAAAAAACAACAACAACAAACCTAAAATGAATTCTCTTTTGGGGTTTGTATGATGTTGTTAGTTATACTTTGGACTATATAGTTAAACTCAAATCTCTATATGTATGAATGTTGCAAAGCATACTAACATGCATATCCTCTGTATTCATGCATGTCCTGTACTAGGAATATGTATTTAAACTATGTTTGCATACATGTATGTTTTTTATATTATTTCAAACTGATGATGCTAAAGATAAATTTTTTCATATTAAAAAAAAAAAAAGTTGAAAGTTATGAAAAATTAAAAAAAAAAAAAAAACAAAAGAAATCCTTTAAAAAGCATAAAAATACAAAACGCGCTGCTATATACGGTAGACAGTGGGTTTTGTTAAAGGATTTTAGTGAGCATATTGAAGTTAATGCGCTGATATGGGTGTTAGTTGGTTTAAAAGGTCTGATATTCCTTTTTTTTTCTTAGTAGTGTTAAGTTCATTTCTGTAATAAGGTGTGCTTTGTATCGTTGATTATCCCAAAAATTTCGTTGAAAGGAAATTTGATTTATCCAAAAATTGGATAAGTTTTCCACAATTTATCCCAAAAAAAATTTAGTTTTCCATAGTCCAGAGTAAAGACTAAACTATAGTCCGCACTACAGACTAGACTATATTCCATACTATAGACTAGACTATAGTCCATACTATATATTAGACTATAGTCCAGACTATAGACTAGACTATAGTCCATACTAAAGACTACACTGTAATCTACACTATAGACTACACTGTAATCCAAACTATAGTCTAGACTATGGTCCAGACTATAGACTGGACTATAGACTAGACTATATTCCAGACTATAGACTAGACTATATTCCAGACTATAGACTAGACTATAGTCCAGACTATAGATTAGACTATAGTCCAGACTATAGACTAGACTAAAGTCCAGACTATAGACTAGACTATAGTCCAGATTATAGAATAGACTATAGTCCAGATTATAGACTGGACTATAGCCCAGATTATAGACTAGACTACAGTCCAGACTATAGTCCAGGCTATAGACTAGACTATAGTCCAGACTATAGACTAGACTATAGTCCAGACTATTGAATAGACTATAGTCCAGACTATAGACTAGATTATAGTCCAGACCATAGACTAGACTATAGTCCAAACTATAGACTACACTATAGTCCAGACTATAGACTAGACCATAGTCCAGACTATAGACTAGACCATAGTCCAGACTATAGACTAGACTATAGTCCAGACTATAGACTAGACTATAGTCCAGACTATAGACTAGACTATAGTCCAGACTATAGACTAGACTATATTCCAGACTATAGACTAAACTATATTCCAGACTATAGACTAGACTATAGTCCAGACTATAGACTAGACTATAGTCCAGACTATAGACTAGACTATAGTCCAGACTATAGACTAGACTATAGTCCGGACTATAGACTAGACTATAGTCCAGACTATAGACTAGACTATAGTCCAGACTATAGACTAGACTATAGTCCAGACTATAGACTAGACTATAGTCCAGACTATAGACTAGACTATAGTCCAGACTATAGACTAGACTATAGTCCAGACTATAGACTAGACTATAGTCCAGACTATAGACTAGACTATAGTCCAGACTATAGACTAGACTATAGTCCAGACTATAGACTAGACTATAGTCCAGACTATAGACTATAGTCCAGACTATAGACTAGACTATAGTCCAGACTATAGACTAGACTATAGTCCAGACTATAGACTAGACTATAGTCCAGACTATAGACTAGACTATAGTCCAGACTATAGACTAGACTATAGTCCAGACTATAGACTAGACTATAGTCCAGACTATAGACTAGACTATAGTCCAGACTATAGACTAGACTATAGTCCAGACTATAGACTAGACTATAGTCCAGACTATAGACTAGACTATAGTCCAGACTATAGACTAGACTATAGTCCAGACTATAGACTAGATTACAGTCCAGACCATAGACTAGACTATAGTCCAGACCATAGACTAGACTATAGTCCAGACCATAGACTAGACTATAGTCCAAACTATAGACTACACTGTAATCCAAACTATAGTCTAGACTATGGTCCAGACTATAGACTAGACTATAGTACAGACTATAGACTAGACAATAGTCCAGCCTATAGACTAGACTATAGACTAGACTATAGTCCAGACTATAGACTAGACTATATTCCAGACTATAGACTAGACTATATTCCAGACTATAGACTAGACTATAGTCCAGACTATAGACTAGACTATAGTCCAGACTATAGACTAGACTATAGTCCAGACGATAGACTAGACTATAGTCCAGACTATAGACTAGACTATAGTCCAGACTATAGACTAGACTATAGTCCAGACTATAGACTAGACTATAGTCCAGACTATAGACTAGACTATAGTCCAGACTATAGACTAGACTATAGTCCAGACTATAGACTAGACTATAGTCCAGACTATAGACTAGACTATAGTCCAGACTATAGACTAGACTATAGTCCAGACTATAGACTAGACTATAGTCCACACTATAGACTAGACTATAGTCCAGACTATAGACTAGACTATAGTCCACACTATAGACTAGACTATAGTCCAGACTATAGACTAGACTATAGTCCAGACTATAGACTAGACTATAGTCCAGACTATAGACTAGACTATAATCCAGACTATAGACTAGACTATAGTCCAGACTATAGACTAGACTATAGTCCAGACTATAGACTAGACTATAGTCCAGACTATAGACTAGACTATAGTCCAGACTATAGACTAGACTATAGTCCAGACTATAGACTAGACTATAGTCCAGACTATAGACTAGACTATAGTCCAGACTATAGACTAGACTATAGTCCAGACTATAGACTAGACTATAGTCCAGACTATAGACTAGACTGTAGTCCAGACTATAGTCCAGACCATAGACTAGACTATAGTGCAGACTATAGACTATACCATAGTCCAGACCATAGACTAGACTATAGTCCAGACTATAGACTAGACTATAGTCGAGACTATAGACTAGACTATAGTCCAGACTATAGACTAGACTATAGTCCAGACTATAGACTAGACTATAGTCCGGACAATAGACTAGACTATAGTCCAGATTATAGACTAGACTATAGTCCGGACTATAGACTAGACTATAGTCCAGACTATAGTCTAGACTATAGACTAGACTATAGTCCAGACTATAGACTAGAATATAGTCCAGACTATAGTCCAGACTATAGACTAGACTATAGTCCAGACTATAGACTAGACTATAGACTAGACTATAGTCCAGGCTATAGACTAGACTATAGACTAGACTATAGTCCAGGCTATAGACTAGACTATAGTCCAGGCTATAGACTAGATTATAGACTAGACTATAGTCCAGGCTATAGACTAGACTATAGACTAGACTATAGTCCAAGCTATAGACTAGACTATAGACTAGACTATAGTCCAGGCTATAGACTAGACTATAGACTAGACTATAGTCCAGGCTATAGACTAGACTATAGTCCAGACTATAGACTATAATCCAGACTATAGACTAGACTATAATCCAGACTATAGACTAGACTATAGACTAGACTATAGTCCAGGCTATAGACTAGACTATAGACTAGACTATAGTCCAGGCTATAGACTAGACTATAGACTAGACTATAGTCCAGCCTATAGACTAGACTATAGACTAGACTATAGTCCAGGCTATAGACTAGACTATAGTCCAGACTATAGACTATAATCCAGACTATAGACTAGACTATAATCCAGACTATAGACTAGACTATAGTCCAGACTATAGACTACATTATTGTCCAGACTATAGACTAGACTATAGTTCAGACTACAGATTAGATTATAGTCCAGACTATAGACTATAGACTCAACTATAGGCCAAACTATAGAATATACTGTAGGCCAGACTAGACTATAGATTAGACTATAGTCCAAATTTTTCTAAATTCCAACATTTTACAAAAATCATTTTAATTATTTTGTTGCAATTTAAACTCCACCGTATATACAGTTTGGCTTAGTCACGGGCTTAAGTACAAAAAATATGATAAAAAATTGAATGTATACAAAAACAAAAACAAAAAAAGAATAGAAAGAATTGTATTTATCGTGATAACGCCGACAAAAAACTCATATATCAAATGCTCATAGTACAATGATTTATGTATTTTAAAGCTGATTTTGTTTTTAACTTTAGTTTTATATTGCAATGTGTTGCTCCAGCAACAGCGGCAGCAGGAGATGCAGCACATCATCATATGCATGCACACAGTGTGAATGTATGTATAGATGTATGATTTCAAATGGTGGTTGTAAGTTATAGTATAGTAGTTGCGATAGTAAATATGCAATTCAAAAGATTAAAATAGTTTTCATTAAAACAAACACTAACACACACACACAGACACACACACATACAACAATAAAAATTATAACGGAAACAAACAAATTCTGAGTCAATTCTTTACTGTTTCCTCTCTCTTTTTTTTTTTTTTCTATTTCAATATCCAATTTAGATGTTATGCTGGCAGCTCGTGGTGTCCATAGATTGGAAATCTCCTCATTGGTTAGCGAAGAACTACAACCGGCCATACAATTGAAAACAGCAGCAGTGGTCCTTAAACCAAACGAAGCTAAAATATCACCTTTAAGTTCGACACGTGACGTGATACCCGAAGGCCGTCAAATCTATCAAAATCTTCTTACCTACACCCTAAACGTGGCCAAACCCATGGAGGTAGCTATCTATGCACCCATCTTTAACTCTGTTCTCTATGAGTCGGAGTATGAATCCCAGTTGTGGATGATTTTCGATGCTAACAAGCATATGGTAGCATGTGGTGATGCCAACTCTCACACCTTTTATACGAAATTGGATAAGGGCGAATATACGATACGTCTGCAAATACGCCACGAGAAACGTGACTTGCTGGAGAAAATCAATGAGGCCAATATGGTGGCACTATTTAAGCTGCCCAACAGCTTGAATCTTGAAGTTTATGATCATTACAACCAATCGGTGATAATGGGTCGTAAGTTCAATTATTGTACGGTTAAGCAGGATTGTCCCAAAGTCTTGTACGTGTCACCTTTATCGCAAGAGAAACTAACAAAAGCTGGTTTGCCCAGCAATAGTGCCTGGTTGGGTGGCAGTATTATGTTGGCTAAAGATGAAATGGGACGCAAAGCTGATGTGCAAGAGTTTACATACGTTTTAAATCCAGCTGAGACAGGCAAAAAGAATGGTGGTGCTAATGGTGGTGGTAGTAGTGGTTCTAACTCCAATACTTCGTCCACTGCAGCTAATGCTAAAACTAAATCTACTGCAGTGGCTGCAGGTGGTGCTGCTGCTGGCGGTGGTGGTCCTTCGCCTGTACCCTCAAATGCTGGTGATGCCGGTCAGGGTTCACCCAAGAAAGCCAAGACAGCCGTAGATGAATATGCTGAGGGTTTGCGTGATTTCCAATGTACAATGTTAACTAAATGTGGTAAGTTGAATGGAGTTCAAATATACAATGTACATACAATTTTTTCCATTTCTATAAGTTACGTGTTAAATAGGATTAAAAATAAGTAATTTCAAGTTTTTCTTTTAAGAAAACCTTATCTTAAATTTCCTAGCAAAATCAAAAAATTCACTTTATTACTACCTTAAAGCTACTCAACAGCATCAAGCAATAAATGTCTCTTAATTAACTATTTATTAAAAATGCAACGATAATAATCTTAACGTCATATTAAAATAGCTTCCGTTCATTTAACTCTGTCCACAGCAGGCTTGGAAAATTTAAATTTGGAAATAGCACTGTGACTCTTAATCGAGGAGATGGAGTGTTATCATTAAAAGTACAAAATTTACTAGGCCATTGACTACTATATTAGCTAGTGCATTGTCAACTTACTAGTCCATTAAAGATGACTAATCTGTTGACTGGTCTCCTGACTAGTCTGTGAAGTAGTATATTGACTAGTCTATTGACTGGTCTATTGACTAGTCTACTGTCTACTAGTCTTTTGACCAGTGCATCGAATAGTCTATTGACTAGTCCATTGACTAGTCTATCGACTTGTCAATGGACTAGTTAATAAACTAGTCAAAAACTGGTCAATAGAATAATCAATCAACTACTCAATGAACTAGTCAATAGACTAGTCGATAGACTAGTCAATAAACTAGTCAATAGTCTAGGCAATAGACATGTCAATAGTCTAATCAATAGGCTAGTCAATAGTCTAGCAATAGACTAGTCATGCTGGTCTGACTAGTCAATAGTCTAGTCAATAGACTAGTCAATAGACTAGTCAATTGACTAGTCGATAGACTAGTCGTTTGACTAGACCATTGAACTAGTCAATAGACTAGCCAATATACTAGTCAATCGACTAGTCAATAGACTACTCAATAGTCCAGTTAATAGACTAGTCAAGAAACTAGTCAATAGACAAGACTATTGACTAGTCTATTGGCTAGTCTATTGAGTAGTCTATTGACTAGTCTATTAACTATTGACTACTCGATTGACTAGTATATTGACTACTCGATTGACTAGTTTATTGACTAGTTTATTGACCAGTTTATCGACTAGTCTATTGACTAGTGTATTGACTAGTCTATTGAACTGGTCAATAGACAAGCCAATAGACTAGTCAATAGACTACTCAATAGACTAGCCAATAGATTACTTAATAGACTAGTCAAGAGACAAGTCAATAGCCTAGTCAATAGACTATTGACTAGTCTATTGACGAGACTATTGACTAGACTATTGACGAGACTATTGACTAGACTATTGGCTAGACAATTGACTAGTCTATTGACTAGACCATTGGCTAGTCTATTGACTAGACTATTAACTAGTCTATTGACTAGTCTATTAACTAGACTATTGACTAGTCTTTCGACTAGTCTATTAACTAGTCTATTGACTAGTCTATTGACTAGACTATTGACTAGTCAGACCAGCATGACTAGTCTATTGCTAGACTATTGACTAGCCTATTGATTAGACTATTGACTAGTCTATTGACTAGACTATTGACTAGTTTATTGACTAGTCTATTGACTAGACTATTGACTAGTCTATTGACTAGTTTATTGACTAGTCTATTGACTATACTATTGACTAGTCTATTGACTATACTATTGACTAGTCTACTGCTAGACTATTGACTAGCCTATTGATTAGACTATTGACTGGTCTATTGATTAGTTTATTGATTGGTCTCTTCAATTGTCTATTGATTTGTATACTGACTAGTCTACTAAATATTCTGGTTGCTAGTCCATTGACTAGTCTACTGATTAGTCTATAGAATATATTATTGAGAAGTCTATTGACTGGTCTTTTAACTAGTCTACTGATTCGTTTATTGACTTGTTCATTGACTAGACTATTGAATTGACTGACTAGACTAATGACTGATCTTCTGACGAGTCTATTGATTAGTCTACTGTCTAATCTACTCACTATCATATTGACTAGTTTATTTGCTGGTCTACTGACTAGTGTATTGACTACTTAATAAACTATTATCTAGTTTATTAACTATAAGTTTTCCATCCCTGCTCCGCTTCACTATATACTTTGCTATTTATTTATTTACTACAGACTACGTTATATTGTTGTAATAATATTTTTCAACATTTTTCTCATTATACCCTACACCACTTTAGTGGGGAGGGTATATTGGATTTGTGCTGATGTTTGTAACATATAAAAATATTCGTCCTAGACCCACCTTAAAGTATACCAATCGGCTTAGAATCGTTTTCTGAGTCGATTAAGCTATGTCCGTCCGTCCGTCCGTCCGTCCGTCCGTCTGGCTGGCTGGCTGGCTGGCTGTCCATGTAAACCTTGTGCGCAAGCTACAGGTCGCAATTTTAAAGATAATTGGATGAAATTTGGCACGCACGTTTTATTTGACCCAAGGACGAAGCCTATTGAAAATGGTTAAAATCGGTCCATTATTTCACCTAGCCCCCATAGAACAGAACCCCCCGAAAAGGGCTTCTGAGCTCATAATTATGTTAAATATACAGATATATCGATAAAATACGGCATAACTAAGTTTTATAGAAGTCTTGATAACCCTGCCAAATTTCATAAAGATCGGGCCCCATTTGACCCTAGCTCCCATACAAAGTCCCCTTCAGAAAATTACTTGAATGTCCCAAATTAACTTATAAACACAAATATCCCGATGAAATTCAGCACAATAAAATATTATGTAAATATAAATATATTCACAAAATTTTATCGGGCTTGGTCCATATTTGCCCCTAGCCCCCATATAAAGCCTCTTTCAGAAAATTAGTTTTTCATCCATAAATTTCTTAAATGTATCGGAACCAGGGAATATTGAAGATAAATGCGATATTATGAAAAATAAATCACATTTAATATTCATAACTGGTGTAGGGTATCATATGGTCGGCCACGCCCGACTATACTTTCTTACTTGTTTTTTTTTTTGTTTAAATGGCGTAATCATGATTTTAAATTGCATAAAATTTATTGCAGCATTTTAGGGTGTGTCGGAAGTGGCATGTTTGCCAAGTAGACACTATTAACGTTTATATTTGTTTTTCCCAGTTTATTTGCAATTTTATTCTGTTTATTTTTCAATTTGTAAAAAGAATTTAATTTCGAAAATAAAAAAACATAAATAATTAAAACAAAAAGAAGAGAAGACAAAATTGGCTGAAGTTTTTTAACAAAACCACCAAGTGCCAAGTTAATTAAATTCTTATTAATTTTATTTGTTCAGTATTTTTGTGTTTTTTTTTTTCGGTTTTGTTAAGTTTTCTCTGTTTTGTGCCCGTTTGTTGAATTTTTAAATGTTATAAATTGCAGTGGAAGTAGTGGTGATCGGTTGGTTAGTTTTAATCTCTTTCCAGTTGATTAAATTCATCGAACATTGGTTTAATTCCACATAATTTCACAACTTTTTGTTTTCATAATGCCAGCCAACTGAATTTAAAAAAAATTCATGAATTCTTTCTTCTTCTTGTTTTTGCTCATAATTTGCATTTATATTGTTTGTGTGATTTTTTGCGATTTTATCCTTTTATAATGATGTTTTCTTGTTTGTTCTGTTTTTTTTTTCTCCTTTAACAATGCAGAACTTGAAAAAGCTGAAAAAATCTATGAAGACATAATTGCTGCACATCCCAAACATTTGGCTGCTCATTTACTGCTCATACAAAACATTGAATCATCATCTGAATTGAAGGCTCAATATCCGTTTACATTTGCCAAGTCATTAAAAGCAAACAATATTACGCCAGCAACAGGAACAACAACAGCAACAACTGAGGATTTATCATCGTCATCCTCAGCTTCATCATCGTCTGGTGCTACTGGGGGTGGCGGTGGCTGCGATGCAGAGGATAAACAAAAGGAGAATAAACAAAAATTGCGCAATGCTCTCGAACGCATTGTTCTGTTGGCGGACAATGTCATTAGGGATACCGATAAAGATGCATTGTTGGCATACTATGGCATTAAATGCGATACTCGTCCTGATGCCTCAAAGATTAAAACGTAAGTTTATTTTTTGCAAAAATTTTTTTTTATTATCATTTATCCTCCTTTTTTTGGTGGGTTTCTGTGTTAAATTTTCAAAGATTATTTCCTCCTATTTTAATTTTAACTTGACTATCTGTAGGCTATGTATACAAATATGAGGCTGTGAGTTTGTCGGTGTGTTCTTTTGCCCACAGATTCTTGTACTCGTAAATTGATTCATTTATGTATATGTATGCCTCTATGAGGGGGTGGTGTGTTTGTGTACTTACTATATGGATTGTGTGGTAGTTGTACATGGCAAGGGAATAGTAATTATAAGCGTCCAACCGAAGGTGTTTTTATGAATGAATAGTTTTTTCTTTATTTCCTGTTTTTTTGGGGTTTTCACTATAAACCGAATGTGTTGCCAAAAAGATTTATATTTATTTTTTTAGATACCTTAAACGATTTATATTATTGAATATATGACATTTGTCTACTATTTAATATTGAGATGTTTTGAGAGTAAAGTTCTTCAGTGGTGGTTAATGACCTTAGTTTTTGGCAATTTTAAAGACTATATTCCAGACTACAATCAAGATTTTAGTACAGAATATAAAAGACTTTTGTTAAGACATTGTCCCCGACTTAATTATAGAATTGACTATAGTCTAGACAATGGTCCGTCCAATAGTCTACAGTCTGGTTTATAGTGAAAATTGAGTTGTATCCTTGAGTGAACTTTATAGACTTGACTATAATGTGGTTTATAATCTTGCCTATAATCTGGACTATAGTCTTGGCTATAGTCTGGACTATAGTCTTGATAACAGTCTGAACTAAATTCTGGACTGGATTATGTTCTTTGCTATAGACTGACTATAGTCTAGACTATAGTCTTGGCTATAGTCTAAACTGTAGTCTTGACTATGGTCTATACTATAGTGTTGACAATAGTCTGGACTATAGTCTTGGCTATAGTGTTGACGATAGTCTGGACTATAGTCTTGGTTATTGTCTGGACTATAGTCTGGACTCTAGTCTTGGTTATAGTTATAGAATATATTTTCTTTAGTCTGACCTATAGTGTTGGCTATAGTCTAGACTATAGTATTGGCTATAGTCTTGGCTGTAGTCTGGACTATAGTCTTAGCTGTATTCTGGACTATAGTCTTGGCTGTAGTCTGGACTATAGTCTTAGCTGTATTCTGGACTATAGTCTTGGCTATTGTCTGGGCTATAGTCTTGGCTATTGTCTGGACTATAATTTCTGCTATAGTCTTGACTATAGTCTTGGCCACAGACTGGACTATAGTTTTGGCTATAGTCAGGACTATAATTTTTACTATAGTTTTGACTATGGTCTGTACTACAGTGTTGACAATAGTTTGGACTATAGTCTTGGCTATAATGTGGACCATAGTCTTGGCAATAGTCCGGACTATTGTCTTTGCTATAGTCTGGACTATAATCTTGGCTATAGTCTGGACCAAAGTCTTGGCTAGAGTCTGGACTATAGTTTTGGCTATAGGCTGGACTATAGTCTTGACAGAAGTCTGGACTCTAGTCTTGGCTATAGTTTGAACTCTAATCTTGACTATGGTCTGTACTACAGTGTTGACAGTAGTCTGGCCTATAGTTTTGGCTATAGTGTGGACTATAGTCTTGGCTAAAGTCTGGACTATAGTCTTGGCTATAGTCTGGACTATAGTCTTTGCTATAGTCCAGACTATAGTTTGAACTCTAATCTTGACTATGGTCTTTACTATATATACTATATAATCTTGACTATGGTCTGTACTATATATGGCTATAGTTTGAACTCTAATCTTGACTATGGTCTGTACTACAGTGTTGACAGTAGTCTGGCCTATAGTTTTGGCTATAGTGTGGACTATAGTCTTGGCTAAAGTCTGGACTATAGTCTTGGCTATAGTCTGGACTATAGTCTGGACTATAGTCATGGTTATAGTCTGGACTAGAGTATTGGCTATAGTCTGGACTAGAGTCTTGGCTATAGTCTGGACTACTGTCTTGGCTATAGTCTGGACTAGTCTTGGCTATAGTCTGGACTGTAGTCTTGGCAATAGTTTTGACTGTTGTCTTGACAATAGTCTAGACTACAGTGTTGACTCTATTCTGAACTATTGTCTGGATTATATTCTCGATAATAGTCTGGATTATATTCTTGGCTATAGAATGGACTATAGTCTAGTCTATAGCATGAACTATAGTCTTGTCTATAGTATAAACTATAGTCTTCATTATAGTATGAACTATAAATGAACTATAGTCTTGACTTCTATCTTCACTATAGTCTTAACTATAGTCATGACTACAGTCTTAGCAACAATTTTGACAATAGTCTTGGCGAGACTATAGGACTATATAGTCTTTACCATAATCAAGACTATAGTCTATGCTATAGTCAATTCTATAGTCTATAGCATAGTCTATGCTATTGTCAAGACTATATTCTTTTTATTACTTATTTCTCTCTACTTCAACACACCCCTCTCCCCCAATATTTAAGAAAATATTTTCTTTCAATTAGTTCATTAAAATATTTTATAAAAAGTGTGACACTAACACAATTACAAACTTCTTTAATCGGCTTATAACAGACATAAGTAGTTATTTTTTTTTTTTTAACAATTCCTTTACCCTTTAATGATGTGCAAATTTAATTTGAAAGTTTTAAGACTTAACTCTATACAAAATGATTATATGGTATGACCGAATAAGATACTTTGCCACAATAAAATTATATATCCATGTGCCGAAATGCAATTATCGGCCGTTAGCATATTGTTGTATTGTAACTATAACTGTAGAGGAATATAACGTTATACATTAACCACCACCTACACCAGCGTTGCAATTTTACAATCATTTTTAATTGAGATAAGGATACAAAATATGGAGAAACAGGATGTGTGTTTTAGTGTGTGTGTCTGTGTAGTAGACATTAACGATGAAATAAACGTACAAACGCGCCCATGATAGTTGCCTTTAAACACAGAAAGACAATTACAAACAATACACATAAATACACCCATATAATTACTACAACAGAATACCTGCACACTTACACACACACACATACATTTATGGCTAAGAGGTAGAACGTAAAAGTTTACAAAAATATCTGGCCTCTAAAATATACATACAAATACTGTTTACATTCAGTTGAAATAACTTATTAGACTGTTGTCTTATTAAGTCATTAATACAAACAGATATAACTACTTTTACAAACACTTGCATCTAGTAAATATGTATGTTTGTATATGTTTATATTTATGTTTGCAGCATGCGGATACACGTACTCAAACTCATTTATATGTTTATCAAACGAAAACATAATTATATGTTGCTGTTTGCCTCCCCAATCTTCTAACAATGACTTCCTTTGTTTAACAAAATTAATGAATATTATTTTTTTTTTTCATTTTATTTTTGTTTTATCTCAACTATAATAAAGATCGTAACTATTGTTTTCAAACTACTAGAAAATACACTCACACACCAAAACCCAATCAGCACAAAAAACTAACAATATGTTTTAAAGGAAACAACAGACTGGCACAGCTAAACCATAGGACAGACAGACAAGAACAACAGACTAGGGAACAACAATAAGGAAAACAAAAACATTGTTATAAGGATATCATTATCTATATAAAACAACTTAACATATTCATTTTTGTGTATTTACTTGTTGTTATTGTACTAATGCAGCACTTTCTTATAATATTCCCTTAAAAACACATTGTCTACATCTAGTTTTTTTCCTAAATTTTTATATTTATTTATTATTTTTTGTGCTTGTCGTTTATATCATAAAAACAAGAAGTAGACAAGAACTTTTCTAAAAAAAAACAGCACCCAAAACATATTCAAATTCATTTAATGGCGCCAATGTTAAACCAATATTTGTAATTGCTGTTGATTAACAGAAACCTCTAGAATTTCATTAACATTAGAGAGAGAGAAAGAGGTGTATGTTAAAAGAGATTAACACTACATATCCTAACAGTTGTAAAACTGTAGCATGATTTTTATTTTATCTTGTCAATTTTATATCACTGTTAAAGTGTTCATAACATTTTCGAACATTATGTTAATAACAACAGGATACCTTAACATTAAGGCAAAATATGTAATATTGGAATAAGTGAATGGATAAATGTTGAATGTCTTGTACAGTCTATAGTCTAGTCAAGTGTAGTCTATAGTCTAGTCTATAGTCTAGTCTATAGTCTAGTCTATAGTCTAGTCTATAGTCTAGTCTATAGTCTAGTCTATAGTCTAGTCTACGGTCTAGTCTACGGTCTAGTCTATACTCTAGTCTATAGTCTAGTCTATACTCTAGTCTATAGTCTAGTCTATAGTCTAGTCTATAGTCTAGTCTATAGTCTAGTCTATAGTCTAGTCTATAGTCTAGTCTATAGTCTAGTCTATAGTCTAGTCTATAGTCTAGTCTATAGTCTAGTCTATAGTCTAGTCTATAGTCTAGTCTATAGTCTAGTCTATAGTCTAGTCTATAGTCTAGTCTATAGTCTAGTCTATAGTCTAGTCTATAGTCTAGTCTATAGTCTAGTCTATAGTCTAGTCTATAGTCTAGTCTATAGTCTAGTCTATAGTCTAGTCTATAGTCTAGTCTATAGTCTAGTCTATAGTCTAGTCTATAGTCTAGTCTATAGTCTAGTCTATAGTCTAGTCTATAGTCTAGTCTATAGTCTAGTCTATAGTCTAGTCTATAGTCTAGTCTATAGTCTAGTCTATAGTCTAGTCTATAGTCTAGTCTATAGTCTAGTCTATAGTCTAGTCTATAGTCTAGTCTATAGTCTAGTCTATAGTCTAGTCTATAGTCTAGTCTATAGTCTAGTCTATAGTCTAGTCTATAGTCTAGTCTATAGTCTAGTCTATAGTCTAGTCTATAGTCTAGTCTATAGTCTAGTCTATAGTCTAGTCTATAGTCTAGTCTATAGTCTAGTCTATAGTCTAGTCTATAGTCTAGTCTATAGTCTAGT